AGCAAGAAACATGCCGGTAAAACCATGGACTGTAGGGAGGGACGGGACATAAAGTGCATCCAGTGGTTTTGATTTTGGCATGTCCCCTTCCCTTGACCAGCAAGATCATAGAATCCAATCAGGCAGTCGGACAGAGAAAAGGTCTCAAACACTTGCAACTGCGGGTGGCTGGCCCTCCAAACAAGAACGAACCCGGACCATCCCGGAACAAAAGTCAAGAGATTTCAAGCCACATGCTGAGATCAGCATGTTTGCTTGAGTGCTCGCCACGGCCAGCTACACCAGGCCACGTTGTCGATGTCACCTGCCCCGCGCCGCTTGACGAGGAAGAACCATGATTCAAACGACCCGTCGGAAAGGCGAAAAGCCGGCTACTAGCTTGGCACTGTTGTCAATGGGGAGTGGGTTGAGCATCACCACCCGCTGCAAATCACTTGGGAGGACAGGCAAGCCCAAGACGTGTGTGCATGACAGCCACTGCCACCCAAACCAAAAGGCTTAATGAATTCATCAACCAATGCAAGGAATGCGTCCCTGGCTGTGATGTGCTCAGCCTGCACGTGGGCCTTGGCTTCTGTCGCTGTGGCGACGATCAAGTTGTCAAGAGCCGCAGTGAGTGCACTAACTCACCATCTATTGCTGCTTAGAAGCATGAGACCGTCTTTCGTGGTGGTATAAAGTTACATAGTTTCCAAAGAATGGTGACGCTTTGTTGTTGTAGTCAATTTGGTAGCAAGGTTTCTTGGCTGCCTCGTTTACCTCCCGATGTTGGTGTTTTATGTTGGCGTATTCTTCGGCCACCATGTCATGGGACGACTTCGCCCACAATCTCTGTGGGTGGACCGTGCTTGTATCCACCAAACGGACCACACCTTGAAGCAACAGCAGATCCAAGCATTACCAATCTTCGTCTCCCGCTCCGCTTCCATGCTTGTGCAGCTTGGGCAGCACTCAGAGCTCATCAATAGTAATAATCGTAATCATAATAATAATAATAAATAATAAATAATGATAATAGGGACTTTTCGTTTCGCTGATTGGCTTGTGGCATCCCGTGATATGCTCGGAGCAGATGGCAGGCGCTTGAAAGCTCGAAGCCAGGCATTGTTACAGTCTTATGAACTCCCCTCACAAAAACGGCCGGTCAGAGCCGAAAAGCTCCAAGAACAGGTTCAAGGTCTAAGGTGCCACAGCCCTCCAAGCGCGTCTCGCCTGCTTTGGCATTTGCAGGCTGTGGGACGAGGAGTACTTTCAGCGTCTTTGGTGCCAGCTAGAGCTTGGGACTTTTGCGAAGTACGGTGGTGCGAAGAAGGTGCCGTTAGGATGAGAGTGATGTTGCACCCGCTGCCACGAGGTCACTAGGAGACCCTCTTTTCTGTTTTCCGGGTTTTGGGGGATATGTTCCTTTCTGTCAAAGGTAATTTTAATTGAGTAAAGGATAGCGTTCCTTTCTGTCAAAGGTAATTTTATTTGAGTAAAGGATAGCAAGACGGTGGAGACGTGATTGGAGTGTAGGATGAAGGAACACGTCCGCAAATCAAGGGTCTGTGGTCTCAGTCTTAGTCTTAGTAGTTATCCAAAAGTGATCGAGGTTTGCTTTCAGGTTTACGGACCCCCCAAACAGCCCTAGGCTCCCTAGACCATAAACCCCTCGACAACCTCCTGAACCCTTCCAAAATTCCGTAGACCCCTACAAATCCCCAAACCTTCCTAAACTTCCTAGAGCAATCCTAGGCCTCCCTACCCCCCCAAACCTCCCTAAACAGCTCTGTGCACCCTAAACTCTTCTGCTGCACGCAGCTGTTCTGTTGTACTACTACTGTATCATCCTTGTGCACAGTGGTACTGTGCTGCTGCTGCATAATACTACTACTACTACTACTACTACTCCTCCTCCTCCTACTCCTCCTACTCCTCCTACTCCTCCTACTCCTACTACTCCTACTACTCCTACTACTCCTACTAGTCACTACCACTACTACTACTACTACTACTACTACTACCACCACTAGTACTGCCATTACTACCACTACTACTAAGTAGTTACGGAGAACACACTGACTAGCGCAAGTGCAACAAACACACACACACACAAAACAATCAAAATTAATCGCTGCATAGATGAGTGTGTGCAGTCTTCGCGTCAAACGCATGAGACAAGCGGCGTGCGATGCCTTCTCTACAAAATCTACACTTGTCAGATTCGTGCACTGGGTAAACGAGTTGTAACCGAAGACCGAGATATGTTCTCTGGAGTTAAGTTCCGGCGCACGGTTTCGAGTCCCTGAATTTGGATTTCATATGCAAGCCTGAATAACTGGAATAGGGCTTCGGGTTTGCCTTAATTATTGTTTGTAGTCAGGAACCCGAGGGACTGGCATTTCAATGTGTTTCTAATTATCATTCAGGCCTGAATAGAGGTTTAGGGTTTAGGGGTTTAAGGTTTAGGGCATGTCTAGGGTTTAGGGTTAGGATCAATGCCTGCAGGAATTCCGCAAGCTCTGAGGACAGCCGCCCGGGCTCTCCGAGGAGGCCGCCGTGCGTGAGGTAAATAAGCCCTGGCTGCATGGTAGGGGCTTCACTTCTAGAATAGGGTTTTGGGGTATTCTTTTTACGAGCCAGACGTATTGGTAATTGCTTCGGCCTCTAGAGTAGGTGCTGAAAGTCGCCTGGGTGTCTGTATTCGTCGGAAAAATTGTGCTTCACTTCTACTGGAACTCCATCTTTCAAGATCTCTCAGCAGCTTGCGCGTTGAATGCGGAGCGAATGGGACATGTCACCCACAGCCAGATTGCTAGCCCTGAACAAGCGCCACCATCTTCATCATCATCGCCAGTACCAAATCGTAAATGTAACGAACCAGTGACACAGCAGCAACGAAAGTAGTCATGACAATCAGAGTAGCAGTAGTTGATTTTTGTGAGCGCTGCAGGTTCAGGCATATGAAGATGAGGCTCCATAGTGCTCCAGGCAGAAGAAGAAGACGGAAGCTGATGATGCGAGGCTTCAGTTACTGTGCTCACACTGCCTAACTACCCAAGCAAAGGATGCAATGAAAGGGCTCCTACAGCCAACACCTGCTCACTATGCAAGTGCGAAGACATGGCCTTCGTGGTGGGCACTAATCAACTTCTATATGGCAGCTCCACAGTGGCAATTGCAACGAAAACAGGTTGAAACATTTTGCCGTGCCTGGTTGTGCTCTCCTTCCCCACTAAAGGCAGAACGAACCATCGTCAAGAGAGGACGCAGGCCCCTCGAACCGACAAAAACGTAAAGTCTCTCAAAGCGATGGTTCAGGGCTAAGGGGCTCTACATCTACATTGGAAGATGGAGCACGGCTTCTGCTGCCGACTCCGTAGGTCTCAAGCAAGCTGGGATAACGGAATCCGGCCACTTCGTCCCTCCTCTGCGCGGACCACGCGCGAACCTAGCAAACGGCGTTGCCCAAAGACGGAAGCTGATTCAAAGTGGTTTTCTCTACACCTTGCGGAGAAACCTGCATCGTCATGCCCTGAACCGTAAACCATGAAATGACTATTGCTTCGACACTGGGTCTGAGGATACTACTAGCTTTTGACATCTTCTTCTTGTGGATTCAGCCTACATCTCAAGAGATAATGCAGGCTAACGGTTGAGGATTGGGATTCAGGCTTTAAGGTAATGTAGGGGCCTTAATAATTAGAATAGGGCTCTGGGGTATATTATCATACTATATAATAAGGAAAAGGCACCGATATTACACGGTGCAACAACATCTTCAACGCAACTGTGCTGGATGTGACAAGGATATTGCCGGGTCCTTCTCCTCCCGCTTACACGTAACAACGGCAACAACTGCAAGAACAGCAACACACCCAAACAACAGAACACAGGAAAACATCACATCACACACGAAACAGAATCAACAACAAGATCTGAATCCTCACCACCAACATCGATAGTAATATTAACAACAACAGTAACAGCCAATAGTAGTCCTATGATACAGCAAACATAATAGTACAAATCTGAAGAGAGTAAATTACCCTAACCCCTAAACCCTAAACCCTGAACCCTGAACTCTAAACCCTGAACCCTAAGCCCTAAACCCTAAACCCTGAACCCTAAACCCCAAACCCCAAACCCTGAAAACCCCAAACCCTAAACTTTGACAGAATTCAGACCAAAACCCTAAACCCTAAAACCCCTAAAACCCTATAGATCCCTTTAAGGAACCCTTTAAGGATCCCAAAAAGGAACCCACATGGGCCGCTTCTGGGCTCCCAGGCCCGGGCGGCGCAGGGCGCCGTGGGGCCAAGCAGCGCTGCCAGGCTTCGATGCCTGGGTTTTATAGGGTCTTTTAGGGGTTTGTTAGGGGTTTTAAGGGGTTTTTAGGGGTTCTTAGGGTTTTATAGGGTTTTTAGGGTTTTATAGGGTCTTTTAAAGGTTCAGGGTTTTTAGGGTTTTTAGGGTTTTTAGGGTTTAGGGTTCAAAGGGTGAAGGCGAAACATGCTCAGCCCCTGCCCAAGCTTTGGGTTTCATGAATGTACCAAGCGCCTGGTACAAATCTTGATCCGGTTCCCTGCATGCAAAGGAGCAGCTGCATGGCCCTGCGCCACAAGAAAATCTGAAAGCAAAGCCCTGCAGCAGCTGTGCAGTCAGACATTCGTGCAACAAAGTTCTCAAAAAGGAACCAGCATCCCTGAGAGGCCGTGATGGTCATGAAGACGATCGTGATTCAATGATGACCAATCATATACAATAAACTGCCACTACAATACAAGGAAACGGTGCAAGACTCCCTGAACCCCATCTTTCACCTTCCGTTTAATAAGCCTGTTGATCAGGAGCTGTGCACCTTCCGGTGCTCCGATCCCCCTTCGAGTGAATTCTTTACCATCACATCGAACGAGGGGGTCCACTGTACAAGCATGTCCTGTCTTCGCAGGGGGTCTGGGCCCGCTGTACAGAATGCCCACTATTCAGGAAACTCAAACTGCTGCTAGCACCTGCACGAACTACACGAGCACAGAGCCCAACCTCCTCTGACTCATCTGCATCACGCCGCGGCACATTCCCACCGGACCCTTGCCCTCGACCTGCCAGTGCGTCCAGCTGGCAATGGAATGGAAGTTGAAGTAATACTTTGAAGGGTTGGAAGCAATATCTTTCAACCGGGATCCCAACGTGAAGCCAGCATTCTGCCCGTCAACGAAGTTGCCCGTCATGGACATCACGGCAGCACGGTTCTTGTAGTGTGCACAAGGAGACCTCTCACTCTCTGAATCCCCAGTAGCCCCTTAATCATAAGGGCACCCTTGCTCCTACTGCTTGGTTTCTTAATACGTAGAACCCAACATGAAAAGGGCAAAAGGGTACTGCTGGGAGACCTAGTGTCTTGTAGGAGCTGCCATCAGCAATCATTCCAGGACCGTTGTCCCCGCAGAAGTTGATCACTGGAGGGCCTGAACCATTCTCACCATCTCCATCGGAGGCCAGGTGAATGTGTGATGCAACGAGCTGAGTGCGACCACCGAAGACATTGGCCGTGCACTGCATGCCACTACGGCTGCAGAGCTTGCAGTCGACGTAAGCTTTTGCTTCACTATCAGGATTAGCGGGGAAAGACTGGACCAGGGTGTTGAAGCTGAGCTCGCTGAACATGTGATAGCACTCGTCGTCAACCATTTCGGAAGCGGCTAGAGAAACAGGTTGTGTCTGTTCTGGGATGGACTCCTTCGGCACACAATGGGAGTACCAGGAGTTCATCTGGGAACAGCTGAAGCCAGAGTCGCAGCACGTCGGGCCTGTCCATCCGGTACCGCCGCATTGGACCCACGCAGTCGCACAAGTCTCGGGTGCCTCAGACGCTTCAGCCGGCAAGGTGACCGCCAGCATGGGCAGAAGCAGCAGCCGGGCCATGTCTGCGAGTCTGAGAATCGGGAT